AATAAACGGAATGACGAGGGGAAATAAAAGGGAAATGATGTGATGGGCCGAAAGGAAAAGTGGTCTATGTGCAAAATATAGCCGAGAAAATATGGTCGGTCGGATGCGCATAAACCTGTTTTCCTTTCAACAAAGATGCTACTTTTTAAATTTATGCAGCAAAAAACAAACATTTTATCTATGCTCATCACTATCCCTTTCAGCACTACATTTATTTAAAATATGAGAATCGAACTCACAGCTCTCGATCTCGACGGAGCAATTCTGCGAGTCCAGCGGGTAATAGTGGAGGTCCATCATGCAGGAGAGGGTGGTCGTGAAGCGCATGCCGTAGGTGACGCTGCCGTCGCCGTGCAGCCGCACCAGCTTGTTCTCCTCCGTCACGTCGTGCAGGTAGCTTTTGGGATTGGTGCGGGGTTTAATTTTAGCGGTTGTGCGGGGATTTAGCGGTTGCCGGTTTCGTTCCCGCGCATGCGATGCGGAAAGCGCGCGAGCCGAGAGCAGAAACCGCGGAAGGAGAATGAAGTGCATTAAAAGATAAATGTAATTAAAAGTTAAAAAAACAAAAATTATTTAAAAAAAAAAGAAAAATAAAGGTAAGAAATAAAAATTAACTTTTATGAGAAAATTAGGAAAGCCATGGATCGCGTGAGTACCGAGTACCTGTACTTGTCGTTGGGGAAGAAGATGTCAGGGACCCAGATGCGACGGGAGAAGTCGGACGCCAGCGTGAGTTCCTCGTCGCTCGTCGAGAACTCCAGTCGCTCGTCCTTCCAGTACTGGTTCAGGTACATGGTCAGGGTCATGTCCTGCCGGGAGGGCGATTTAGGGCTATTTAAGGCTGTTTAGAGCTATTTAAGGCTGTTTCGGGGACGTACCATGTCCACTTCCGAGATGGAGTCGAAGCTGGCGATGGCGATCTCGAAGCCCACGTACAGGGGCTCTCCTGAGAGGACAGTAAAAAAAAGAAACTAATAATAATAATTATTATTATTATTACTTTTTTCTATTAATAATATATATAAAATGAAATAATTTTAAAATTGTATCAAATACATTTACAAATTAATTTAAATAAATGTTAAAATTAATGGAAAATGATTTTTAAATTAAAATAATAAAAATACTAATAATAAATGATAATATGAATGGAAGGGAAGCGACGCACTGCCGAAGTTGGGTCGGAGCCGGATGTCGTATCCTTGCATCACGTTCTGGAGGATGAGGGAATAGTTGGAGATGCGGTCGAATTCGTCCGTTTCCGGCTCCGTCCGAATGGGTTCTCCGAAGGCGGGGGGGAGCCTAAGGAGAGGCCGGCCAAGAGGGTCGTGGGTCGATTCCGATGGGGGGGGGGGG